CCCGAGCCGCACCGGGGTGGGGGGGGGGCCCCCCCTTACCTGGTTGGTGATATCATAGACCACGATGGCCGCTTGTGCCCCCCGGTAGTACATGGGGGCCAGGCTGTGGTATCTCTCCTGCCCGGCCGTGTCCCAAATCTCAAATTTGACCGTTGCGTCGTCCAGGCAGACGGATTGTGTGAGGAACGCCGCTGTCAGGGGGGGGAAAGATGGTGTCAGCATCACATCGGCACCCACCGGGCAGCGGGGAACCCCCCCAGAACCCCCAGATGGGATGGGGACTGACCCCCCTGAGCCCGTTAATTAAACTCGTTAGCGGAGCCCGACTCACCGCCGATGGTGCTCTCCTGGTACTCGTGGAACTGGCCCTTGACGAAGCGCAGCACCAGGCTGGATTTCCCCACCGCCGACTCGCCCAGCAGCACCAGTTTGAACTGACAGATTTTACTGGCTTGGGATTGCCCGTTCGGCCTGGCGGCTCCTCCTCGGCTGGTCATGGCCTGGGGTGGGTGCTGCCGGCGCCGAGCGCCCTGCGAACCGGAGAGCCGGGAAGGCACCGAGGAGGAGGAGGAGGAGGAGGTGGCCACGGGGGACAGGGGCTGGGGTGCAGGGTGCTGGCCTCGGCTCCGCTGTCCTGCGAGGGGAGGAGAGAGCCATTACTGCGATGAGCCCGCACCAAAACATGTCCCCATGTCCCCCCTCCCCAGGAACGTGTCACCTCCACGGTGGAGCAGGATAAACCCTCCTCTGCCTCGAGCCAGAGCATGGTCCCCATCCCTCCAGGGTCTCCCCATCCCTCCAGGGTCTCCCCATCCTTTGCAAATCATAGAATCATAGAATCATTGAGGTTGGAAGAGACCCTTGGGATCATGGAGTCCAACCATCTCCCCTACTCTACAAAGTCCTCCCCTACACCATGTCCCTCAGCACTGCATCTAAACGGCCCTTCAACACAGCCAGGGATGGGGACTCAACCCCCTCCCTGGGCAGCCTCTTCCAACGCCCGACCACTCTTTGGGTGAAAAATTCCTTCCTATGCAAGGTTCTGCACCTGGGCCGGAACAATCCTCGCCACCAATACAAACTGGGGGGTGAGGGATTGGAAAGCAGCCCTGAGGAAAGGGACTTGGGGGTGCTGGTGGAGGAGAAGCTGGACATGAGCAGGCAGTGGGCAGCTGGAGCCCAG